ATTTATGAAAACAGCTGTAAGCTTTTCGGTGAAGTAATTGTCGGTGAGTTGTACTGTCGACGAAATAAACTTTTCGGCGAATTAATTTTGTCGACGAATTAATTGTCGGTGGATTTAGTGTCGACGAAATAAACTTTTCGGCGAATTAAGTTTGTCGGCGAAATAATTGTCGGTGAATTTAGTGTCAACGAAATAAACATGTCGGTGAGGCGATTTCGGTGAAGTGACGTGTCTACGAAAGGAGCGTCGGTGAATAGAGCTGAACCGGCCACAACACATCGAAACTTAATACAATTACGGATAGTTAAGCCTCTCTATAATCTGTTAAAGTTATTTAAAGGATGTAACTTGGTTAAAGTTGGTTATGATACTTATATGCGAGTTAGGGTACATAAGATCATTAACATATTGTAACCTCTTTTAATTCCTTATAATTATATGATCAAATCATCATAATTACACTCTAGCAAATTGCCTTATTTATATAATTTATATTATAGTAGTAGAATTTGATGTAGTTTTTATTTTTTGTTTTTAATCATTGCAGTGAATTTATGAAATACTGAAATAATCCAACCATTTTTAAGTTATTATGCGTCATTTTAAGAAATTCCTATGTCTAATAAAGTGCGTCGGGAGATAGCGGATAGGTTAGACACATTACCATATTTACGCGTAATAACGCGCATCTGCGCGATATTTCGGAATTTAGCCTGAAAAGTTCGATCAAAATATGTAATATGGTATATTTAAGGAGGTGCGTTATTTTGAGTCAAAAAATCCCAAAAATGGGAATTTCGAAATAACGCACATGTGCGTTATTACGCTCAAATACTAGATCAGTGGTCCAAAAATTTTGGTGTTTATATTGATTGATTAATATGTTAATTTGGTAACTAAAGTTTAAATTTGGGGAATAAATGCTTGGATATGGTGACTGAATTTTAGCTTAATTTCATAAATTCGCTGTGATGGTAGTATTTGAAATTTATTGTTATAAGCTGAAGCCAGGAATAGCTAAAGCTAAAAATTTTAAATATTTTAATATCTGATATGATATTTTCAAACCTTTTTAAAGATATTATTTTTAATAGGATTTAGGCTAGTTTTGATCATAAATGAGTTTGAGTGGATTTTATTGGAGTTATATATTTAAATCGAAGACCCTAATTCCATCTGTTACCGTATAGTTCCGAAATTAAGCACCCCTTTTTTGTTAAAAGAGGCGCTTATTTTCGGATATAATTTTTTGACTAAGTAAATTTATTTTATGTTTCTAAGTAAAACTGTTCCCCAAGTCAAGACGATACTAATGGCAGTAAAATCATAAAAATTTGTCCAGTAGAACTTTCGCAATTCTCTTCAAAATTTGGGCGACGTTTGTTTACATTTGCTTTACATGATCTGCATACTCATAAACTAAAGTCGCCCGAACTTTGTGAGAGCTCTACTGAACCAATTTTGATGATTTTACTGCCGTAGAATCGTCTTGACTTGGAGAATAACTTTACTTAGAAACAGAAAGTAGGCTTGCTTAGTAAAAATACAGATACGATTATACATAGGGGACGCTTATTTTCGGATATTACATGGTGCACCGGTTAGGGTTTAGGTTAGTGGGTTGGGTCAGGGTTAGGGTTAGGGTTAGTGGAAATATACGGTATTTCCAGCTTCAGCACAACATTTATTAATTGTTAGCACTTTATAATTATGATCTTGAATAACTTGTTTAAAAATGTTCTTTATTCTTACTTATTGAATTAGACCTTTTCATAAAAATAAAATAAATAATATAAAACAAATACCTTCAATATAACTTTGAACCTTGTTTATTTGATAAGTGGTTTAACGTAAATAATAGAATCACCATTCCAATAATCCAATAATGCGCAATTTTAAAGTGATAAGATTTATGTTGGAGTCAAGATCGAGATGACTTTAATTTATAAAAAATGTGTCGTAATGTGAGTTGCTTGTGGTTTTCGTGATTTTCACGTTATACTTCAGCTGCGGACTGCCTCAGAGGCGTCTCGCGAGGCTGATAATGGGTTATTCGGTCCAATGTTACAGTAGGAGATCTGCATCGATAATTGTAAATGCTCACGAAACGAAAAAATAAAATAAAATAAAATAAAACAATACATAATATAGAAAAAGAAAGTTCAAACTAGGAATGCTATCTTGTTTGTCTAACTCAGTTCAACCCTGTTTAAAACCCGTTCCAATTAAAATCGAGTATTTGCATTTACATGAGTTTTTAAAACTCATCGTGTTTAAAATCGATTTGATGAGCAAAAAGCTTCTTAAATTGAAGTTAACTTTTTTTGGATCTTTTTTCTTAAAAAAAAGCTTTCATTGAAAAATTAATTAAATTAATTACAGAATTAAGTTAATTACATTTTCTGACTTCGATCTGCTGATGCAGGTTATTCTGGACTTGCGAATGGTGTGAAACTATTTAGTCATATAAGCCAGTGTATCATCACGGCAAATTTTTACACTACCCTAAAATTTATAAAAGAGTATATGACGCATATGTTGAAATAATTTTATAGAAAAAGAGATGGCTTTTATTAAATTTGGAATTCATTTTAATAGATGCGTCATGTAGATGTAACTTAAACGTTACAATGCAAATATATACTATCATTGTATTTAGTTAAGTGTGTGTGCTTTGAAAAAGGGTTCAACTATTTTTAGAGCATAAACCAAACTAGTTTAAACAGAATAATATCTCTAGTCTAAGCCTACTTTGAAATACTGATAAAAAAATGTCAGGAATTAAGACTGTAATGCACAAAATTTCGGATTCTTTTCGGTCCACACTATACAGTATAATGTAAGACAACTTTTAAATTAGTTACATACAAACTTTTATATTCACAAGTATAATGTACGTACGTGTGTATGGTTAAAAATAGCTTAAAACGCATGTACAAATGTATATTCTTTGTTTCATTTATGACAAGCTATTAATCCTTTGTATATATATTATGCTTTGAATTTGTATTGCCATTCATTAAATATTGTTTCCAAATTACAATGGTAATAAATCGACTTCTAAAACAAGGAAAGTTGAACGAATCAATCAAAATATAGTGTATAAGTATAATATATATAATTTCTAGTCATCGCTATCTTCTAACAGCACGCATCTTTAACACATTAGCATCAGACTTCAAAATGTTCTCGATTTTTATTTTTTTTCAATTGATAATAACAGTTAATTCTTATTCTTACATACCTCTTAATCGTGATGAACACGTTGCCAGTTACATAGATAATAAAATATTTTTTCTTGGTGGAGAAACCGACACACAAGATCTTACCAATGACTTCTTTTTCTTAGATGTCTCAATACCTTTTAACACCTCTTCTTTACCGATGTATGATTTAAATAGCATTACACAAATTCCATATAATAGAAGGGCATCTTCAGTTGTATGCGAAACTATGAATGATACAATCTTCGTATGGGGAGGAGATCTTTGTTTAAATTGTTCATCCCCTTTAATGTTTGCTTTTAACACTACAGCAAAAGTATGGAATGCTGCAAACGATAAAGGAATTAAACCTTCAAGGCGAAGATTTTCATCAGTAGTCTGTGATAAAAATGCAAAAATTTATATCCTAGATGGTACTTTTGACCAAATTGTTGGGAATATCACAACTTATAATTATAGTAATGAATTGGATATTTTTGATACATTACAACTAACTTGGTCACGAGGAAGTAATTTGAATGCACCAGTTCCCCACGATGTAGGGACAGCTACTTTATTGCCTAATGGAATGATCGTATATATTGGGGGATCAAATGCGTATGGACAATATCTTGGACTAACACAGGTAAATATGTAGCGGATTTATTATTTGAAGAAGTTAACAGAATCCAAGAAATTTTTATTAACTAAACATGAATAACTTGATAATATCCTAACAAATTTTGATGTTTTCTTTTTAAGAAAGTTTTAATGAGTTGGTGCATCTTATTTTTATCATCTATTATATCAAATAGAAATTTTCTTTTTTAAATTCTACAAACGATTGTTATCATATGAGTGAGAAGAATAAACCTGTGATTCTAAAAATAGATTATTATGGAATTCATAATAATATATTTAGGATTACAGGTTTTCTCTTTCCGTCATTCATATTATTCATGTTCAAAGCTAGAAAGTTAGATATAATAAAAAAAGATTGCCTTGATTTTGTTAACTCCTTTATTTCACCATAATTATTATTAACAATTGAAATCTACTAAACAATAATTAGATCTTCCTTTATGATACCCTTAATGATAAATGGTCAAGTATGGTAAGCTACTAATTTTACATATTTTACAGGCAGAGTTCTTTTTTTGATTTTTAACAGCTGTTTAGTGCTTCGAATATGGCACGGGTTTGCGCAAGAAGAGCACCTTCTGCGTTGCGGATACAAAGTAAAATTTCCAATTGTATAATGTAATTCTTTGTATCTCAACGCAGGAAGATGATCTTCTTATGCAAACCATGTCATATTCGCAGTTGGTAAAAATATAAAAAGACCTCTGCCTTTTCTATAAAATGATTAAAAAAAATATATTAACTCAAACGCTTGTAGAACACGACAGGTGCCTCACCGACAGCTAGAGGTTTTCATACAGCAGTTTTAAGTATATATGCCTTATTATTTAATTTGTCAATTAGGTTCACTTTATATTAAATTAAATATCTTTATCATTTACTTTAGCACGACAAGGTCATATAGTTGTTTATGGAGGTGAAAACGCACCGTTTATACCCGTACCTGATCAATTACTAGATTTAGATACCAATGTGCAGCCTTTTAGATGGACATTTCCTTCTATTAATTTTACTCCCAACCCTGCACCTTACAAAGGACACACTTCTACGCTTGTAGGAAACTATATGATTGTTGCATTTGGTATAATTTTATTATTATGATAATTATTTGATACGTAAAGTGATTTTTATTTAATAATATCTTCTATAGGTTGGTTTTATAATGGCACTGGATCTTCTCGTAGCAATAGAATTATTATGCTTAATGTAAACGATTCAAATAATTATGTGTGGGTATCTTCTTTCACTCCACCTTCGGTTTTATCAACAACTTTTCAACCAGTAGCATATACAAGTTCGACAGAATCGAACACTGATAACAAAAATAATATTGTTATAATCGGAATTGTAGTTGGTGCTGTTAGTATAATAACAATTTCTGGTGCTATTTTCTTGTTTTATCGTCGGTATAAAGATCGAAAAGACATTAACGTCATACCTAGTGATGATGCATTTAAGAGATCAAAGAACTTCATACGTAGTGATGACGTATTTAAGAGATAAAGGACGTCATCTAGAGGACATATTTAAGAGGTCTAGGTAGCTGGCTACCATGTTGCTATATGTGTTAATTGATGTGAATCGCTGACATTTGACATGGCATTTAATGTTTTATAAAAAAATCATGGTTTAATAACCTGTTAATTTAAAAAAAATAATAAACAAAGCTTACTAATTCATACTAGTCGGATACATATGTTGTGCCTCAGATCGATTTAAATTAGGATTAGAGTTAGGCTATAGCTTAGGCCAATTAATGCTGATAATTTAATGCCGGCCAAGCGATTAACACCTGAGGCAAAAATCGATCTGGGGCAATAGGTTCAAAATTAAAATAATTACATTTTTGCCAAAACCTCACTCAGGTGACCATAATAAAGCTATGACTAGAGATGCTGGTGAGATTAATTTCATCGACTTCAATTCAACATTGATTTCGCCAATGATGAAATTATTTCACCACCCTAGTTTTACCAGCATCTTTAGCCATGACCCTAGTTGAGTTTATCCTTGCGAGCCAATTGACTGACAGGTATGCGGGTTTACTAATTTCCCCCACCACTTCCCACTGGACGAATACAATTATCATTTTCCATTGGGCGAAACAATAAATTTTACGTAACCATCTAATGCGTCGCAATAAAAGAATAAATTACTTCTTTTCGTAATGATTACATTGATTAAAATTTTTTTTTCTTTTAAAAAAATAATTATTTTCGACATTTTGTTCTTTTGAATTTTAGCACTTTCAAGTTTTTTAGTAATAATTTCGTATGAACGTTTATCATAAATAAATCTTTACCAATAAGTTTTTATTATATCCACTTTTTTAAATCATACTGCTATACGAAAATCTGAAAACAAAATAAGTATTAATTTTATTTTTTTTTGTTTTGCTTTGTTTTATTTTATTTTGTAAGTGTATGAAAATTTTACTAATTATTTAGCAACTTAGCAGTGAGTGATTTTAGCCATGCTGATTGAAGCGATCTATTATGTTGATCAATTGTTACTAGGTGGTATTGTCGCTTTTCAATTAAAGAAAATTGGAAAAGTTCAATGGAGAGGTTTTTGAATAGAATCTCAATAATTTTGTTTGCAAATTGGCTAAAGGAAAATTCATAACCACAAATTATTTCATCATTTGTTTTAATTTTGCTATAGTATTCTGTTGAACTTCTTCAGTTTGGGAAATACCAGTGTTATTTGTCAATTCTGAATCATTGTTTTCATATTTAATATCAGATGTTTTAATAACATCTATTTTCAGCATTAATAATAAGGTAGCTGCATGACGCAGTCATGCTAGAAACCAGGAACGAGTGAAGGTTTAATAAGTTATATAAAAAATAATTTGAGTAAAGGTTTAGTAAGTTATATAAAAAAATACCTTAAGC